CCGTCATCGCCTCCGTCTCCTCCACGGGCACCATCCTTTTCTGCCAGAAGACTTTTCTCGTTTTTTTCCACCATCAAATTCTCAAAGAACAAAAAAACTAACTAAATTAATAATCTTGCTCGTAAAAGAAAGATAATAAAATAGGAGAAAGAAGCTCAGAATTAAAATAAGGGCAAAATAGTCCAATTAATGTGAATAGAGTTTTTGAAATAGTATTAGGAGAGAGAACTAATTTCAAGATCGTCTAGGGTCAGATAGTGATAATATCCAAATAATCACATTGCCGTATGGTCAGTATGAAGAAACCAATTGCTGCAACGCTGCGATTATTTCCCCTAATCTTTCTTTCCTTACTAGTTTTCAAACAACTAGGCAAATCTCTGTAATTATAATACATCATTTTGTCGACATGCCGCTTTGAGTTCCTTAGGGAGAGAAAAAAAAAATCAGCTGTAGAATTTATTTCATATTCATATACAGAATGAATCATCTAATTTGATTATATCCATTTAGAGTATTTATAATTTTCATCAATGTAAAGTATGAAAAAACTCTTTCACTAGTTTGAATTTCGGTATATTTGTAGTATGTGTGACATTTATTTAGAGAACTAAATGTCACGTTTTAGTACGTGAAAGGAATTTTTTTTTTGGAAGCTAATTAGAGAGACGATTAGATAGATACTTCGTGACAAAAATTGTAAAATTTAACAAGAAAAAAAGAAAAAAAAAATTGTAAAAAAAAAAAAAAATTGTAAGAAGAAAAAGCGAGACGGTCAAATCTCAAATAAAAGAAGAAAACTATTGGTTTAGAAAGAATGAAAAACTAGTATTGTTTAAAAAAGAAACATTAAAAATTTGGTTTTGTTGATGCATGGAGAATATATGTGAAAATGTAACTCTACGTGAATATAACTACGCGCTCTATGGAACGCGCGTGAGAGAGAGATACGAAGGCAGCAGAATCGTCAACGTGATTATTATTTTCTATCGTCATTGAGAGTGATAGTCTCTTCTTCTTTTTTTTTGTGTGTTTGTTAAAGATGAGAGTAATAGCCTGAGAGAGACAGAGATTACATTACAGAGCATTTCTTTTGTGTGTGTTAATTTTACATAATTTATTACATATTAACTACTTCTGGCCTCGGAAGTTTCCTACATATATAAACTATTATTACTACATAATTAAGAGATGGCCCCCACACAACAGCCACGTATTTCTTCTTCTCCTATGTCAATTACTTGCCACTATTTATTCCATTGCTATGTTTCTTGTCTCTTCTTGATAATAAAAGCATTTCCATCGGGTAGAAACCTTGAAAGTTTCTCAAAAAAAAAAAAATTATTATTTTAAGATTGTAATTTTTTTTTTTTTTTATTAATTGGACCATTGGAACTATGACATGTAGCATGACATCAGATAAACAATTTCTCAAAATGTATGTGCAGAGAAACAATTTCCCTTCTCTCTTCTTTTTATAATTTTTTATTAATAAATGTCTCTTCAAGACATTTTTGATGGAAATGCTCTAAAAACTCAAAGTTTCTAAAAAGTCTTTCTAAAAATCTCCTCCTGTTATGGCTCATGAACATGATGAACATGATGAACTTGACTTGGAAGAAAATGTGAACGTGGCGGTTTCAGTGTCAAATTCACTCTCCTTCCCTCGAGAATGGATCAGAAAAACAAAGTTTCTCCATGCCAATCACATCCATGATCTTCAGGTTTTTGAGGAATTTTGCTCTGTATTTTTATTTTTTTTGTGGATTTCTGAATTTCTACATCTCTCTTGATTTCATGAACATTCTCTTGATTAAATTTTTATAGATTTCTGAGGTTGATTAGCTGAGCATGTGGAGTTGATTTCCAGCTTGTGATATCTTTCTCTTCTCTTTGTTGTGGCTTTTGTTTTTGAACTGCTTGTCTAAAAGTGTCTAAACGTGAATTGTGTTGCTTTCGCTTGGAGTAGGATCTAGTTTTTATTTGGTTTTGGTTTTACTGAAGAATGTTTACACATTTTCTAGTTGAAATGTGAAATGTGAAATGTTCAAGTTTAATTCTTAAGTCCATGTATAAACCTCTCAATAGAGAAATAAATTATATCATGAAAACGGAAAGAAGATGAAATTAGAACATAATTGATGCTAAGAGAGAGTGTCTTTATTAAGTCTATGTATAGCTTCTAGTTAAGTGTTTACAGTTTGCTTGCTATTGTTGATGATCTATAGATCTCAGAAACAAATGTTCATTCATGGCTTTGGATCTCAAACTAGTAATCCATATATAGCTAGCTCCTATGTATTGATTAGAGAAACATTATGTGGTTGGAGTCTATTTATTATTCTATGTACTCAACCTTTTCGATTAGTAATCTGAGTACATCACAGTGTCTTAAAACTCGTACTGTTTTCTTGATTTCAAGATCTCTTCATATGTTAGCGTGTGAACTTGTATAGTTATAAATGACACGATATTGTCTTTGAAGTACTCTTTGATGTTTTCATCTTCTTAGGTCGGCGTTGCTATCCGAACAAATCAGGCCGGCGATGATGTTTTTTTGGCTCTCTGCGTCGGAAACCGCTGCTTGGTTATCCGCTTACCCGACATGATCGAAGGGTGTCTTGCTGACTTCCTCACCGCTGACACCAACCGCTTTGTCGGTCTCCATCAAGAACCACCGATCGAGCTGGCGAATTACAAGACAGCGGCGCAGCTCGGGGACAACCATCAACTCAATCCCGTGGTGGCATGGAACAACTGGCCACTCAATGACGACCAAGTGAACGAAGCTGCCATCGAGTCCGTGCTTGTTTCCTCGTCGCTCTCCGTGACCACCGTCTCTGATCATGATCATGTTTGGTTTAGTATTTTAAATTATGCAATCCCGGTTTAGTAGTTGGTCAAACTTATTCGTAGTTTATCTCAAGACAATCTTGGAGGGACAAAAATCTTTTCTTAGAATGTTATCGGTAATGTATTAAATTAATGACGTGAAGAAAGTGTTATTTTAAGATTATTGTATTAGCCTGTTTCTATCCTTGTTTTACCACATTCTCTATTTAATCTCCATTACTACGCTAGTAGAAACTCCAGTTCGATAAAAACTAAAATAGAATATAAAAAGTCCAATTGCCCTTTTCATCTATATGAAAAAAAAACTGTCATGAGACTCCAACCAATGGTACAATTTTAATTATATGGATTGACATTTAATCAATTTAGATACACATTTTAATACAACATTATGTTCTCCTCCCACAAGTAGAACATATATAACAAAATACGTTTATATATTGAATAGACCAACTACAGATTCAGAAACATGGTGAATGGGATTAAACTAGCTCTGGTTTCAGCATTTGTCTTTCACTACCAACACCATGGCATCATCTTTTTTGCTATCGTTCCTGAACAAACAACAGCTTAAGACTCAAAAGCACCAAGACTACAAAAAGATCAGCGATATAAGGACTTACCTGGCTAATAACAGATCCAGCAATTCACCACCCTCGCAAAACCTGATGATTAGTATATCATCAAAGGACAGACTAGTTAGCAAAAAAATAGACAATGTTTGCACTTTTTCTTTCTTGCATCGCAAGAAACAAGATGATAATAGAAACACACAGTCTAAAATGTTTTACTCACTCCATGAACATATAAACAGAGTTTTTTTTTCCTCCAAGGCATTTTGAAACCAAACCACACCCACATTTTCATGCCCAGTTAAAGCTTCTAGTGTCTCCACCTCTCTGTTTACGTCTCCCACTCCCACATCTATTGTTGATGCTCTTTCCGTACGGGACCGCTTTGTTTATTTTAGTGATAGTTAGAGGTTAGAGAGCTAGATCACTCCTCTAAGCAGCCTTCTGGCTTAGCTTCACCTTTGTCCCCTCGACCCCTCCCATATCCCGGACCGAAAACCATCATTAGATAATCATTATGAATTATTGGAATTCGCCCTGGTTTACAATCAAACTCCATAAAGCGGCCCTTAACCAACTACAAAAAAATCCATCCAAATCACATATTTTAATTTTGATTGAATTTTAAACTTTAAGCTGGTTACATCATGTAGTTTAGATGATATAATATAATGAATTGAGAACTATTTTTAAAATTTTTTGAATTATTTAGTCTAGTTACAATTTTTTGTGTCATGACGGAAATATTGTTGGTTCTACTATGAAAACTACTTTCTATTTGTTTTTTCATATCAACACTCTATTTTTGGTAATTTAATAAAAAATAGAGACGACAAAAACGGACGAACTACGAGATAATCAGATTCCGCATGAAGGAACATCTATGAGATCCTCTTGGATAAAAATTTGTATAGGTGCTTCCTCTTGTTTTTCGTGTCCCAGTTGCAGCTTCCTAAATTGCTAGGTCAACCCCTCTCTTGATGGGATTCTCTCTCGTTCTCAAAAATGAAGAAGTTTCGAGCCTTCCATGTATAACAAAGTATCCATGGACCATGGAAATACCTATTGGAGATGTCCATCCCCTCACCCTCTAGACCAAGAAGTCAATATTATAAGACAAAGACTGCTTGGAACATTCGAGAATATGATGGGGGATAAAGCCCAAATCTGTCTAGATGGGAGACACTAAAAGAATAGATGGTTTTTTGTTTCTTCATTTGCTTTCCATCTAGGAAAATCGATTTCCTTATCAATATGACAAAAGGAAAGTCATTGGCAAAATGCCAAATATCCTGAGATATATTACCATAAGAAATGCTTAAGTTTTCGTGTACTTTTAAGGTTTTATATATGTACTTTTAAGGCGAGTCGACGTCGCAAGTAAGAGGAGTGTGATCTTTGGTGGCCTAGTATTCGGACTTGAGTGAATAGCTGCCTAACTTTGTAAAGAACCAAACGGTGTGCAAAAGAACAGCAACCAACCAAACTAAACCAAAATAATTAACCAAAACAGAACCAAAATGAATTTATTAACCATGTGGTTTCACTATTATAAAATCCGAAAAACCAAACCCGAAACCGAACCAAAACTGTTTTTTTTTTGTGTAACCAAACCAAATTTTTTTTAATTAAAATTTGTACTTTTAAGCATTCAAATATATATATCAAAGAAGAGACAATCATAGCTGTGAATTCAATGAACACGAGTATCAATGGATCGCGTAAACAAAAACTTGGAAGACTTCGGTTCGCAAATAAGTTTCTCTTTTATTAATCAAAAACAAGGCTATAGATAAGCCAAGGCCTAACGTCTAAAAAACCCTAAATAAATAAATGGAAATTCTAAAACCCCTAAATATGTGTGCCTTGTCGTCCAAGTCATGACGTTGCTACATTATTTAGGAGCCAGACCAAATAGTTTAACTTGTTCCAGCGCTTTGTTGAAGTGTAAGTTCCGGCAACTCACCAATGTTATCTTAGAAACATGTGAAAATACTGTAACCACTCTCCGGTTAAGCACATAACCAGTTGAATTTAGTTGGTTTAGCCCAATCGATTTTAATAGGTTTAGGTCAAACCAGCCTTGCATATTATATATATTGAAAATTAGGTCAAACTTCAGAGTAAAAGAAACATAGTCGCTTCTATGGACGCCAAAGTAGTTGAGCAGTGACAGCAGAAGAATAGGATGGACAAGAAGAGGAAGAAACGTACAAGTTCTCTTCCTCCTTCGTTTGCATCACTTCCAAATGAAATACTTTTGAACTGTTTAGCTCGCATCTCCAGATATCACTACAGCTCCTTGTCCTTAGTCTCCAAGAGCTTCCACCAAGGGCGGAACCACTAAGGAAATGGGGAGATCACCTGACCTGGTCAAATTATTAAAAAATGTGTGAATGCATAGAAAAGTCTATAGTCCGTGTAGTATATTTGGCTAGAATCGGTGTTTTGAAACCCCTTGAACCCATGTTCGACTCCCCAAACTGACTGTTTTGGTATTTTTTTATTTATAATTATGTTTATTCTTTTTTTAGTCTCAAAAATCGCTATATCAATTTTAGGATTTAGTATAACTTTTTGTTGATTATGAAAAAACTTAATTTTTTTCTAATATATTTAATGTTTGTGTAATATATTTCTGTAATAAAGTATATGATTTACATTTTCTAAAATCCCTAATTTTTTTTATGACCCTGGTAAAATATATTCTTGGGTCCGCCACTGGCTTCCACTCTCTCATCTCTTCCCCAGAGCTCTATCAGTCTCGTTCCTGGATGGGAAACACAGAGCCTTACCTCTACCTGTTCCAACGCTTACCCACTTATGATCGCTGGTTCTTTGTTAAGAAAACCCTAATTACCGACGGATGTATTAAGGATGATGAGTTAAGCTTATCACCGATAGCACCATCTTCCTCTGCTCCAGCCAAGGCATCCACTGTAGCCGTCGGTTTCGAAATCTACCAAATAGGCGGAACCATCAACGACGATAAGCGGCCTTCCTCGGCCGTTCATGTGTTTGATTGTCGGACTCACACGTGGCGTGATGCTCCTAACATGACGGTGCCAAGGAAACGCGCAAAGTCTGCTTTTATAGACGGCAAGATATTTGTTATTGGAGGAATAGAGAAGGAATTATCCTCCATGAACTGGGCTGAGGTTTTCGATCCAAAGACTCAGACTTGGAAGCCATTGCCTAGCCCTTGTGATGACGCTAAAGTTCAGCTTTGTAGAGGAAAACTATACGTTAATAGTGATCTTAAAAGGTAGGAATATGATTCAAACCAAAGAAGATGGAAGTTTTTTCCAAAAGTGAGTTTGAGGAATGGACCTTGGTGCTTTATAGAAAATGTAAACTTTAGTGTTTTGGGGAAAAAGTTCATGTGGTATGATTCAGAGCGTAGAAAATGGTTCATGGTTGAGGGTTTGGAAGATCTGTATACCAAGTGTGTTATTTACTATCGTAGACTCCGGTTAGCTAACTATGGTGGGAAACTCGTAATTCTATGGGACTTGCCCGTTCAGGTGCCTGAAGGGAAGATGCGAAAATGTTACTGCCAAAAAAACAAGAAGATAATTTGGTGTGCCGTGATAAAGTTGAAGAAGCGCATCGGCTTTTCTGGATTAGAGATTTGGGGGGAGATTGAACAGTCCAATGCTGTGCTTACACTCCACAGCTCATTTAAGTTCTTGAGCTGTAGCACCGTTTGATTAATTTGCGTTCGCAATTCTGCTTTCTTTCTTTTTTTGATTGTTTTTGTTGAGTTTATAACACGGCAATTACTGAGAGAACTTATTCTTGATTACATGGATGGTGAGTGTCATGTGACACATATTAATTTGTTACATGGTTTTGACTTTTCTTTTAGTCTCTAGTTTTAGACTTGGTGTCTTGTGGTTTTGTTGTTTGTTACTTTTTCTTAAAATTTAATTTGCTTTCAAATATATTCTGTTGTTCACCGGTTTAGTTTTTAGGCGTTTTCATTTTTTTACGACCGATCGACGTTGTATTCCACAACATCAATGAAATTTACGACATTAAGGATCATGAAATTTGTTTTTTTCATTGCTCGTTGACAAAGCAAAAGTCATTTCATGTTTTTACGCCAACGATAGAGATGTGAAATTCATTATCAATCTGCTAATTGTGTATACTTAGTAGTTGTTATTTTTTTTTGGAGGTAAATTTAGCATCTCTAGATGAAGGACTCCCAGAAGGGTAAATAGTTTCTTCCTCGCAACAACTGACCTTCAACAGAAAAGCTTTACATTTCTTGTATTGCCTTCATTCGTTTATCTTCTTGAATCTTTGCAGAAATCATTTCGCACATGATTTACCACAAACAAACAAAGTAAGAACACTGCTTTCCCAAAGAAAGATTCGTAGCATTATTTGTCAATTAGAAAGCTTTTCCTCTTAGACAGATTAAAAACATTAAATTCATCAATTAAATTATATTATAATGATCTGCAGCATAACCAGGACTTGGACAGTTGAAATAAATTCCAAGGTGAAGAAACTCGAAAACTTGGGACACTTTACCTACAAAGCCCGAATCTTTATATAATATAATATATAACTAGATCATAACCCATACTACATCACGAGTAGAATTTTTTTTCATTCAATAAAATTGTAAATTTTGTTTTTTGAAGTAAAAAATATTTTAGTATAAAGTTTTGAGAATTTACATTATATTATGTTCTTTTTTTTATCGTCTGGATTTATTCTTTATTGCAAATTATGAGAACGTTTACATAGACGATTCTACAACAGACAATTCTTTCCGACCTTTATTAGATTCACGACAGACGACACGTTTCTCTCTGCGTAGAATCCTGGCGAACGACTATAATTGTGCATCGTTGGAGATCTCCTGCACACTTACCTCCATTATATCTTCGTTAATAAATCGCTGTATCTGGGACTCAAACCCTATATCTTTTGGTGTAGAAGCATTAATTAACTCTTGATCAACCAATAGGCCAAGGAGGTTTCCACCGTTATATTATGTTCAAATATTTTTTTTAGTTGGATTAAATTCTGTATTATATTTACTTTGTACTAAAACATGTTTCTATAATAAAGAAGGACATGAGATTGTAGTGCATATAGGATGGTTTGAGTTGTATTAAAATTGAATTGTTTGTTAGTATGACAGAAATATTTATTTTGGTCCAATTTAGACATTTTATTTTTATTCCATCATATTTTATTTGTGGGCCAAGTTTTTAATCCTTGTCGGCTTGCGTCCGGAAGAATTTTGATATTTGCCGGCTTTTATGTATTCGAATGATCAATACAATATTTTGTGAGAAAAAAAAAATTTATATGTAAACGGGAGCCCAGTTAGGAAATATTGAGCACAAATGGGTACCAAAGTAAATTTGATCAGCCCAAATCGGGCCCATAATACTGTCTATAAATTCAGAGACGATAAAACCCTACTTACTACGCAAGGCAGCGGAATAATAACAGAAAAAAAAAATGGATCTGATGATAACGTCGAGCGCAGAGATGAAGAAGATTAAGAGTCTCGATGATGATAAGCTTTGGGCCGGATTTGATTGGGAGGAAACTGATAAGATCCTGAGTGGTGAAATTAAACCCAGGACCTTGATCACTAGTTATCCTTTCCCAGCTATTCGATATCCTCAGAGAGGACCTTTGATTGCACAGGAATTGGTCTCAGTGGTCCCGAATTCTTGCTACGTGAGGAGAGGGATTAGATCCAAATTACATGAGGTCATAGCAAAAGCTAAAAAGAGGCATTTTACATCTCTAATTCTCACTCATACAAACCCTCGTGGACATGGTCAGTGTTTATATATACTCGTCTTCTTGATATATAGACCAGACCTCTGTGGTGTGGTGTCAAATCTTTGTCTTTCTTGTTTGGTTATGCAGATGAACTCATTATCATAAGCTTGCTCAATGGTGCATCCGCTGTTTTCAGGGTTATTGATTTCATCCCACGGGCTGAGATACCGGTACATTTTGTTTGCATATTTATATATATTCAAATCTTCATTCATAAACTCAAATTTGTTTTCATTTTTTTCTCGTCTTACAGAATTGTGCAAATCCCCTAAGCCGCCGCATATATCCTGAGCTTCATATGAAGAGTTTTGATTCTCAGGCCAGTGTTGGCACAGCCAGAATGATACAAGCACTCTTCCCCAAGGTCCCTTCTTCTGGTGGAAGGCCTATTGCATGGTTTCAGAAGCAAAATAATCATATCTTTTTTCGATCTCATCGGTAACTTGTCTCACCACCCACTTTTTTGTTATCTCTTGAGTTTTTTTTGTCTGACTATAAATAATAAATCAATCTTCTTGTTGTTCAGTTTCTGCTATGAGGAACCACTTTCAGGAGAAAGTTCAAGTGTTCGCAGACAGCCACAGGTTTCATATCTATTGCTTTTACTGACCTTTTATGATGTGTTGGAGATGTAGCATTCTTGTTTTGATTTTCTTCAACTATTCTTTTTTTTGTGTGGCAGGAATGTGGACCTCGCTTCGCACTCAAGTTAAGGGCTGTTGAAAGGGTATCGTTTGACACTGGAAAGTTCAAATTGCTTTGCGTGGTAAGACTGATTTTGTTTGATGAGTAGTTTCTCTTGACAAGCCCTACCTAACACAACACATTGTTTCTCCTTTGTTTTAGGAACTCTTGGATGATTATGAATAGATCATTTCAGCTTTGACGACCCTTCTTGTTACGGTAGTCTGCGTATTTGTTTGTCCTAGTCCATGTTTTCTGCACAACTCTTGCTTTGGAGATTTAGTTATGTTTGCAACGTTCATAAATTTGATCTTAATTTATTCCAAAACATACAAATTCGGCCTGGTCGCAAATCAAAGTAGTTTCGCATTTTTTTTTATGTATTGTAATTTCTAACGGAACAGCAATGTTGATGGGATTTATTAGCTATTCCAACTTTAGACCTATCAACACCTTGAACTGAAGCGGACTTGTTTTGTATCAACAGATTTAGATATAGGATCATTATCTGTGGGACCTAAGAGTTCACATTGCTTGTAACTAAAATCAATGCCTGCACTACTAACTGTGAACCTTTTGTCCAACATTTGGCAATTCATCAGTCTCCAGAATAGACAGTACCTCTGATTTTGTTCGAAAGACATGACAACTGAGAAGCTCAAGAGATTCATCACCATTAAGCTCTTTTGGTGAACAGCTTCCTACACAACATAGATACTAGTTAAAACGAATCTGAAAATAAGTTTTTAGTTGCATTTACATTTTCTTTCTCCATTTACTTTCAACTAGTCTTATATTCTACTACAAGTCACACCCTATTCAACTGTTTGGGGATAGAAAAAAGCATTTCAAAGAATCTGATTGCGTACATCTGATTGGTGAATATCGAAGAAAATTGGGAAAACCAACTGGCGGGGACTACTTTTCCGGCTTTTCACAATGTGAACCAGCTCATCAAGACGCCAAGTTGATTATGAATAGTCTTCTGATAAAATAACCATGAGCATCCAGCAGCTGCCGGGAAATATACTCTACTCTTTTTAATTTCACATCATCCTTGAATGTGCTTATACCACATATCTTTTGAGACTATCATTGAGATAGATGGCTTAGAAAGTTATTCCGCACATCTGCTCCACAGAAACTTAAAAAGACATCGTCGCTCAGGAATTCGCTCCATACCTTCAGCCATACCCCACACGTGATGTTCTCTTTAACCTGAGATATAATTTCAAAGGGAAATCAAGGAGTACTATGAGACCAAGGTTCTCGAAGCAAGAATTCAACTTGAAAATGTATCCTTGGGAAAGCCATGTTTAGACAATGAAAGCATTAAGGGGATATGGAATCTGCAAAAGAACATAAACCAAGGCAATAGCAAGAAACATCATAGCTCACTTTCCAAACAACACGTTATCTTAGCAACCTAAGCATGCTAATAAAATAAATTCTAACGAATCACTCTTACCAAGTTGTACTACACCTTTGGTCTGTGAAAGCAATTACACAAGATTTTTTGTACTAAAAATGGATACAGTAAAACAGTCTATCAGCCCACAAAGTTCACAAAACATGGAGTAAAAATATAGACATGAATAGACAATCTTATAGACTAAAAAAGGTAAGAAGACAAATAGCTTTACCAGATAAGAAAGAAGAAGCAGAAGAACTTGAGCTTGCCCTCTTTCTCTTCTTGACTAAACCAAGATTAAAAAAAAAACAAAAAAAAAAAAAAAAAAAAACAGAGGAACGTAGCTTCAGGAGATGAAATCATGAAACTTTTGAAAGATTCAATCAAAGTCTTTCCATTTTTTTATGAAAAGATTTGTTTAACTCTTGTGAATCATCAAGCCGATACAGATAGAGATGATCTCACAGCTCCGTGCATATATCCCTCTTAAGGCTTGACTGGTTTAAAAGCAGCCGTTGCGGTTGCGGTTATGGGAGTTTGCGGAAGCGGACAGTTGCGGTTTCAAGTGTTATTTAGCGTTTTGACTGACTGGTTAAGCGGTTGTAAACGGGTGCGTTTGCGGGAGATTTACGACTGGTTGATCAGCGTTTACGATAGCGGTTAAACCAAAATTTACCAAAATAAATTTAATATATGATTATAAAAAAGTATAAAACACCATAAACTATTATTATGAAAAAGTGTTATTTTTTTAAACATGATTAATGATTAAAAACCAGAAATAATTATTCAAATAAATTTTATATTGAAAACAAAAATAATTATTAATATTATAAAATTAAAGTTAGATAACTATTATTTTATTAGAATTAACGTGAATATATATGACTTGATAATATATATATATATATATATATATATATATTTTTTTTTTTTCTTTTTTAAACCAACCGCAACCGTCCGCAACCGCAAACGCTTGCGGGAAGGAGCTTTTGAAATCCAGCGATTCGAGCGGTTCGAAGCGGTGTGAAGCGATTTCTGTGATTGGTACCAACCGCTAATAACCGCAACCGACCGCTAACAGCTGTTAGGCGGGTGCTAGCGGTAGAACCAATCAAGCCGGCCAAAAAAAAAAAAATATATATATATATATATCCCATTATCCCTCTTAGATCAAAAACAGTAAATTCACCTATTTCTCTTAGATCAAAAACAGTAAATTCACCTATTTATTCACATTACAAGCCCAGCTCTAAGATGATGGGCCGGTCGTATGGGCCCTCGGTTTACACTAAAAAAAAAAAAAATCATTTTGGTAGTAATGATTGAGAATTTGTATCTTATAAATGTGATTATTAGCTAGAAATATACTCCCTCTGTTCCTAGATATTTGATGTTCTAGAGTTTTAGTTTGTTCTACAAAATTTGATTTTTTAGGTTTTTGTTTTATTTTTTATTGATTAAAATTAATATATCGTAAACTTCAAGACGTAATGATTAACTGTTTTCTAATACTATTGGTTCAAAGTTATTAAAAAATATTTAGTATAAAAAAGTAATTGACAAATAATTAAACAATGATTGTTTCTTAATATATGTGAAAACTCTAGAACATCAATTTTTTAGGAATAGAGAGAGTATTTTTTTTGGTCGACTATGAATGGACTACAAAATTTATAGTCTCAATATTAACCCAAAGAGTACTGTTATTTCATCTATGTTTTTTTTTTAAAGCTTGTTATTCCATCTCTTTCTGCTAATGTTTTTCTTTTTTTTGAATTTTTTTTGCATTAAATTAAATGTAGCAAAAGTGTTTACTATTACAATAAACCAACTTTAGTGGTTGGGTATTAAACCCAATAAACATAAAACTGAAACAGCAATTACGAAACCCATTAGAAATAAGATCCGATATTTAATATGTTATTTGCTTATAGCAAGTAAAGTTTTAATTTTAACGCATAAACTAAATTTATTGTCTATATTGCAAAATCAGCTTCACGATTGTTTTGCAAATTATTTAGAAATGCAACAGATACATGCATTTTAATTTGCAACCCAACAATGTCAAAACTCTAAACTGCAAATAACAAAATTTTGGATAAAAACGTTATATCCCTTGGAGAACGGCATTAGTATTGTTTGTTGGTTTTAACACTTGGCCCAATGCATCACAGATTCTTGCGTCGATATCTATTCATTTCTTTTTCACGCTGTTGTTTTCTCTATTCCAGTAACTATAGTATTAAATTTTTGTTTCAATATCGTTTATTTACTCATTGTTATATATCTATTTTTGCTCTAGTACTCTCACGTAAGGAGGACTTGAATTTTGATGATTCATGATCCATCAAGATAAGAGAGGAATGCATGGGTCACCAAACCAGTGCCTCGTTTCTCTAATTATGTTCGTACGTAGAAATTTTTTCATGTATGTAAAAGATTTGTTCATTACAGTATTATGGGTAAAATTTTGATTTGAGATGAATGATATTTGATCATTTTCCGTCTATATCGTGTATGAAATGAAGAAGTTCGGAAAATATCATGTATGATATGATATAACTTTGGTGGACGTATCATTCATCTAGATTTTATGTGTTTTTATATTGTTGGTATTAGGCGCTAATACAAACAAATGATAAAAACTTTATAAACAAATGACAAACTTTTTTTTTCGTGAACAAATAGTACTAAACTGCTATTACCAAATACTAGTTTATTAGTTTATGAATAAAACAAATGTTAAGGTTCATCATGTTCTTATACAACCATATTCCTGCTCTAATCGACGGCATGGAAAAAGAAATTGAGAAATACTAACATTTCTACAAAAATGCGAAGTTATACAAAATAATTGAAATAAATGTGGATGAGAGTGTATAAGGCCAAGTTTTTTTTTTTTTTTTTTTTTTTTTGTATAAAGCCAAGTTGGTTTTGGTTACTTTCCTCGTAAGTCGGAAAATATTCGTGTGTCGGTAGAAGGTAATGAGATGATGCCACGTGTGAGATCGTGGAAGAAGTGTTGATCGATCTTTGTCGTAATAAGGACCCACAACGCACCGACTGATCAATCTAAAGGGCCTAAATAAGCCTTAAGGCTGTTCCATTCCATTGTCCTATCTCTGGACCCCTTTGGATTTTGCATGCATGAACCCCCCACCATTTTACCTCTTGTCTTTTCTTACGTTATGTCAATTGCTCCTTACATATATTCTTCACCCTTGCATGTCTAAGAACAATAGTTTAGTAGGCTCTTAAAATTAATTCTGAACAATAGTTTAGTATTAAAATTGTAAAGTTTAGAGTTAAAGAGATTATATTTTTATTTTTAATATTTATGTGTCTTTAATGGTAGGCTCTTAACTTATGGTTCTTAGAAAAAAAAAAATTAATTTAAAAATGAAATTAAAATTAACAATTTTAATTCTAGAAAACTTAATAATTATTGCAAATTAAAATTTTCTAAAAAGATATGAGATATAATTTATAACATAAATCAAAATAGTTTAAAACTTGATTTCCGGCAAATTTTGTCTATATATCTAGTAGAATTGAAATAGATTAGATAAATGTAGTTCATTTAGGATAAATATCATCAGTGAGATAGGATAAATGTAGTCTATTTCGGGTAAATAGATTGAATGTAGCCTGCTATATAAATGTTAAGAACTTCTTAAGAGTCTATTGATAAAGATGGTCTAAGCTCTAATTTATGTTCTGAGTTACATATATTATTCAATTGGTAATCGAAAATGGTAATGAATTAAAATCTAACGAAAAGTTAAAAACGGTAAAATATAATGAAATAGTTATAAGAATAAAAGATAAACTGGTGATTAACTAATGGTAAAAAGAGTTACCAATTAGTTTTATAATTTGTTATATATTAAAAGATTGTATTCCGAAATTTATAATACATGTAAGAAACTGGTTTTTCTTATCATTTTAAGAGTCTATAGTGGTGAATCATTACTAAAATCATAATATAAATATTTAACCCCAAACTTTGATTTAA